ACTGAGCCACCCAGGCGCCCCAAAGTCATATAATTCTTGATTTAAAAAAAAAGCTTTGGAGTTTGAGACTGTTGCTCCTCCAAAGAAATAAGAAATTCTCTTTATATAAAAGACATGTGTGTATTATTACAGTTTAATGGTGCTTTAGTACAATGCTATGATTTTTAGCCAAAATTGGATGCCAGATGCACAGTTGCATTTAATTTAAATACAAATCGTATATAAAATATTAATATTTAATTAAATGAGGCATGATAAGATAGTATAATATTACAAATATGTGAGTTATGAACCTATTACTTCACTAGAGAAAAATCAGGCCATTTTAAAAGGCTAGACTTTCCAAAGCTTTTAGTTTTGTGTTTATAGAAGTGAGTAAGATCAGTTTTAACTTATGCTTCAAATGGTAAGGTCACAAATTTGTGGAGTTGACTTTGATAAAACAGTAAAGAAAGACTCTTTGTCGGGTTAATCAAATTAATTAACTAGAATGGGAATAGTGTCAGATAATGAAACTTTTTAATGTATTTTTTTTTATTTGGGGCTTACAGGTGAGAGGCTTTCTTTTCATTTAATAGTTTAACTGCCCAAGGGCGCCTGGCTGCCTCAGTCTGTAGAGCATGGGACTCTTGATCTCGGGGTTGTGAATTCGAACCCCACACTGGGTGTAGGGATTACTTAAAATCTTAGGGGGTTGCCTGGGTGGCTCAGTCGTTAAGTGTCTGCCTTCGGCTCGGGTCATGATCCCGGGGTCCTGGGATCGAGCTCCACATCGGCCTCCCTGCTCAGCAGGAAGCCTGCTTCTCCCTCTCCCACTTCCTCTGCTTATGTTCCCTCTCTCGCTTGTCTCTCTCTCTGTCAAGTAAATAAATAAAATCTTTTAAAAAATAAAATAAAATCTTTGAAAAAATTGTTTAACTGCCCAGTGGTACAAGGTACCCTTTATGTAGTTTTAGCATAAATCTTTATCTTAAAAGCCATTTATAAAACAAAACACTTATGAGAACTTTTGCTATTTTAAAAAATTGCCGTTTGGAGGTGCGTTCATGAGTGTTAGTCTTATTATTTTTTTAAGATTTTATTTATTTGGGGCGCCTGGGTGGCTCAGATGGTTCAAGCGTCTGCCTTCGGCTCAGGGTCATGTTCCCGGGGTCCTGGGATCGAGTCCCTCATCGGGCTTCCTGCTCAGCAGGGAGGCTGCTTCTGTCTCTGCCTCTCTCTCTCTGTCTTTCGAATAAATAAATAAAATCTTTAAAGAAAAAAAAAAGATTTTATTTATTTGAGAGAGAGAGCGTGAGCAAAAGGGCACAAGCAGGGGGAGCGAGCAGCAGAGGAAGAGGGAGAAGCCGACTTTCCACCAAGCAGGGAGCCTAATGTGGGGCTCAATTTCAGATCCCTGAGATCAAGAGTCGCATGCTCTACAGACTGAGCCACCCGATGCCTCTAGTTTTATTATTCTTTAAACCATACCTTATATGTTTATTCTCTTCTATAAATGATATGTTTTATAATAAAATAGTATTTGATATTTTCTATTATGGTTTTAATGTAATAACTGAGGAAAAACGTATTTTTTTTTTTTAAGATTTTATTTATTTGACAAAGAGAGAGAGACACCTAGAGAAGGAACATAAGCAGGGGGAGTGGGAGAGGGAGAAGCAGGCTTCCCGCCGAACAGGGAGCCCGATGCGGGGCTTGATCCCAGGACCCTGGGATCATGACCTGAGCCCGAAGGCAGACGCTTAACCAGCTGAGCCACTTAAGCGCCCCTAGTTCAGGGTTTCTTAACCTGTGCACTTTTGACATTTTAGGCCAGCTAATTCTTTGTTGTGGGGGACTATCCTGTGCATTGTAAGATATTTAACTGCATCCTGTTCTCTTACTCACTAGATGCTAGTAGTATCTCCCAGCCATGACAACCAGAAATGTCTGCAGACATTACCAAATGTCCTAATGCACATACACCTCCACTACCACCACCAACCCGACTGAGAACCATTGGCCTAAATAATGTCATTCATTCATTCATTCATTTATTCTAAGTAGGTTCCATGTCCAGCATGGAGCCCAGCATGGAGCCCAGCATGGAGCCCAGTGCAGGGCTTGAACTCACGACGCTTGATCTTAGGATCGTGTTTTCAAGTCCTGAGTTGAGGTCAGAAGTTGGACACTTCACCAACTGAACCACCCTGGCAACCCTAGATAACATCCTTTAGATTTCAACTATTACATTAACAAAATGCCTTCCCTGACTAAATCAGATATCTTGTTTTTTAGGGACATCTGTTCACAACAGCATGTACTACATGCACTGACAGTTGTGTTTTTACATTTATATTTGAGGGTATATGATTATTACCTTTCTACCACTAACCTGTAAGCTTCTTTCTGGCAAAGGCCGTGCCTAGTTTTGTTCACTATTGTTTCTGTAGCACCTGGCATCTTGATTGACGTATAGCAGGTGCTTGATAAATATCTAGTGGATGTAATGAACACATGGTGTCCAAATAAAGATCTGGCTAATAAAAATTAGCATATTATTTCATAGCCCAGAATCTTCTGTTTCCCCAGCCTTTCGAGCTTCTCAAAAGTTATATTACTTATCTACAGTAAATAGAAATAAAAGAGTTTTTATAATCTTAGGCCAACAAATTAAAGTTAGAATTTCTTACAGTTTTCAAAAACAGTAGTTTCTTCCTTCTTTTATCTCATCTAGCAAAATCCAGTGATTCTTTCTTCTTCTTTTTGTTTAGAGATTTTATTTTTGGGGCGCCTGGGTGGCTCAGTCGTTAAGCGTCTGCCTTCGGCTCAGGTCATGATCTCAGGGACATGGGATCGAGCCCC